ATCTTCTGGAGTAAGTCGGCGAGATTGTTGCTGAAATTGTTCTTAAACGACAGTGAAGGGAACACATAGCCGACGAATAAAAAATTGGACCGATGAGGTTCGATTAGGACGGAATTATTTTATTAATAAATGGCAAATCATAGGTATGTTTTTTTTAATTTTTAAAACAAAATTCCTTTAAACACTGATTGATTTGGAAGAACTTGAAAAACTATCAACTATTGAAAAATCCTTCGAGATTTCATTTTTTTTCCTGATAACCTCCACATTATCCAACACGTGCCGGTATTATCAGGAAAAAAAAATGAAATCTCGAAGGATTTTTCAATAGCTGATAGTTTTTCAAGTTCTTCCAAATCAATCAGTGTTTCAAAATTTTTTTTTTAAAATTGAAAAAACATATGCATAGCAAAAATTAAAATTCGAAAGTAACATATAAGATATCAGCTGAGGTGTGTAAGTTTTTTTTGATATAAAATTCAGCACTGCAAATTTCAAAATGGCGGACTGATGGGTTGCCGAAGTGGGGGGTTTTTCTAGACAAAACACCTTATATCTCAGTAGCTAATTACCAAAACTCCATAGCATCTTATATCAATTTTACTTCTTTTGAATTGGTTGAATATGAGGCATTCCATTTGAAAAATCACAACTTTGATATGTAGGTCGAAATTGGGACACCCTGTATAATGGGCAATATTTTAGAAATGTGACCTCAAATATCATGTATAACATTTTTGGAAAATCTATTTGTTTGAGTAATATTCCGTCCACACATGGATGGGCCACCCTATACAGGGTGACTTTGAAGTTGAGTCATTAATTTTCAGATAATGATTGTAGAAGGAAGATAAACCAAAATATGAGTGTAAAAATAAAAAAAAAATTAAAAAAAAATGTTACCTTGTTTTATAAAGTATCCTCCCCACAAGTATTTCAGTGCGGACCTGTATTTGATCGTGCGGTCTTGGAGCACCGGCATGCCCACCCCTGTGAGGTCTTAAGTCGGGGCTTAACGAGGGGTTGGTTGCACTCGATTAAGAATAAGAATCATGTCCACAAGTTCAGCATTTTCGTAAACATGTGCCATTTTTTATTTCGTTTAAGCCACGCAACAAACACCACTATAGACTCACGCGTTACCGACTGAGACATTGACTGAATCCAACTGAATAATAATTGTAGTAAAAGCATCGTTTCAAAGTCTTTCGCTTTTTTGTTTCCGATGCGATGAACCGATAAGGCGGATTATATCCGTTGTTGCCAAACACGAGCACATAATATTATTATTGAGACAGGGCGGTACTCAAACTTCTAAAGGGCTATAACTTTAATTTTACCAGAAAAATGTTAAAGGAAAAAACATTTCTTTTGATCAGATCTACTCACTGTTAAAATAAATGACTCAACTTCGAAGTCACCCTGTATAGACAGGACGATTCAGGAAACGATCATTAAAAATCCTTTCGGTCTCGTAAAAGTTACGCGTCGCATCATAAATAAAAATCGCTTCGATTTTTTCTTCCAATGGACGAGAATTGACCATTTTAAAAATAGTTCAAACAGTATCTAGCACTAAAACCGAAAACTAAATAAGAATATTTTAACTGAACAATAATGTTTGTTATCGTACTGATATTCTTGTCACTGTCGACAAAAAATAACAAAACAAGCTTTTATCGCTGTTGTAGAGATATGCATGTTAGTGGGTTTGTGTTCAAGTAATTATTAAATGTACCACCATTTTGTATTAGGTAAAGGTATTGACTTTATATTCTAGGGTTATAAAGTACTCGTCAGGAGGTTCAAAATCATGTGCCACAAGACCCCGTTTTCACATAATTTTTTTCTCCCCAGCGACCATCTTGACATTTTCATCTGTCAATTTTACTCTAAAATATGGTATCCACGCATAAATTTCATTACCTCAAGTTTTAATTTTTGTATTGATCCGTTTAAAAAATCAAACGGGAGGGGGACATTAAAGATAAGCACTGTATATATATATATCATGTGCTCGTGTTTGGCAACAACGGATATAATCCGCCTTACCGGTTCATCGCATCGGAAACAAAAAAGCGAAAGAATTTGGAACGATTTTGTACAATTTACATACAGTCAGTGTCAGTCGCGTGTGAATAGTGTCTGTTGCGTGGCTCAAACGAAAAAAAAATGACACATGTTTATGCGGATCGGTTTCCCAATCGAGTGCAACCAACCCCTCGTGCCTTTGTTAATGTAATACAACGGGCTCGTGAATCAGGTGACTTAAGACCTCACAGGGACCTCACGATCAAATACAGGTCCGCACTGAAATACTTGTCGGGAGGATACTTTATAAAACAAGGTAAAATTTTTTTTTATTTTTTTTTTTATTTTTACACACATATTTTGGTTTATCATCTACAATCATTATCTGAAAGTAATGACTCAACTTCAAAGTCACCCTGTATATGAGCAGTAGTCATTGTCATTGCCAACGACCAGTTGGGCATATATATATATATATATATATATATATATATATATATATATATATATATATAAACAGAAAATGATCATGCGGAGAAAGGTATATAACAAAAAGTAGGAAAATAATGGGCAAAATCCGCAAACAGGAGGAAAGTGGATTCGAGCAGAAAATAGGATAGGTAACCCGAGCGATACGTAATTCTGCTGGTTGGCTTCATCAGGCCAGAAATGAATGCACATATGAAACTACAAAAGTAGATACGCATGCCCACAGATCCGGATACGGGTGTAACCTAAGGAAACGAAGATGGAGAGGGAAAAAACGACACACGAAGGCTACAATGAGAGCTAACCTACACATTGTAGTATAATGGGCTTGAAATACCACAGCAAGTGGCTATAACCGGCCGCGTAGTTGTGGTTAGTTGTCTCCTTGAAAATTCGAGGTCTTCTAGCCATTTTATACTACAATGTGTAGGTTGGCTCTTATTGTGGCCTTCGTGTGTCGTTTTTTCCCTCTCCATCTTCGTTTCCTTAGGTTACACCCGTATCCGGATCTGTGGGCATGCGTATCTACTTTTGTAGTTTCATATGTGCATTCATTTCGGGCCTGATAAAACCAACCAGCAGAAATACGTATCGCTCGGGTTACCTATCCTATTTTCTGCTCGAATCCACTTTCCTCCTGTTTACGGATTTTGCCCATTATTTTCCTACTGTATATATATATATATATATATATATAATAACTCCTGTTTCGAAACAATTCTGAGTTGTACACCAAAATGTACACAAATGTTCCGCCGGATGCTGAAAAGTATTCGAAGAAATTATTCATCATAGAGAGAAATACAATTTTAACCAAACAAGCTACGTTTAAGAAGACACACTTGACTGAAACGGCAATACAAATGGTTTTAGAGGACTGGAGGAGATGTACGGATAATAGAAAACATAGAGTGACAGTCTTTTTGAACATATTTCTGTTTATGAACAATAATACATCGCAAAAAATTGTATTTCTGCCTATGCTCTACATAGGTGCACCCAGTACTAATGGCTACTTCAATATCCTCTTCATTCATTTGTCACTTTGGTAAGCAATGGTAGGCAAATTAGCCGAATGACCATTAAAAACTACTCAATTTTAGCGACAAACAAGGCAATGTAAACATCTTGGCTTGGCACCTTCTGATCTATTCGAGTTCGTTGGTGAGAACTAACTAAAGGTAGTTGAATCTCTCTCTCTGTCTTTTCGAACGTTGAAGTAATAGCGCAAACATGTGTTGTTTAAAATTTCGCAACTTCTACAGTATTTTGAAGTTCTGACTGCTCAATTTCCATGGACATTATGCAAAATCCGTTCCGCACATGCATATACGCGACAACAAAACATATCTGTTTGTTCCGAAAATTAACTATCCAGAGAAAATAAATGCAGCGCATTAATTGTGAGAGCCGTAGCCGTATAAAAAACGGCTGACACGAACTCATGATAATTTTGAACGTGGAGTATAATTGCAAAAACGGTTTGATTCGTTTATTTATATTTGCTGTGCGAGAATTCGTTTTATACTATTTACATATCATTTATTTAGTTATAATATGAAATACATATAAATGTGCGCAATTCATATGCTGTGATATGTAAACGAATATCGAAATCGATTTAAAAAAAAAAGAGTTTGACTTCGCTGTATAGTGTTGAGTGCTACTTAAGTATATCTCTTAAACGTTGGATGAATGACGCACGCTCAAGTGGAATGTTGGTAGATCCATTTATTAATTTTGATAGTTGATATCGGAATCAGAAACTGTTGGAAATATTGAAGTACATGGAAATGTATTATCGAAATTGTTTTCTGAAACAACTTACATTAATGGCATAAGTGCTGGAAAAAAACATGACGCCAATATATTTTGCAAAAAAATAGTAGTAGTAGCTTAAAGCCAGATTAAATTTACTTAAAAAGTGCCTCTTGATTTTTTTATTGAGACGTACCGACGTTGAAATAAAAATTATTTTATTAACCAATGCATCAATTAGTTTATAGCTTTTAAAAAAATTATGTCATCTTTTATAGTGGACACAACAAACAACCACAAATGATACTTTTCAAGTAGGATCAATATGACTTTGAGAAAACTACACGGATTTTGATATCAAAAGAAAATTGTCAGAATGGAAACGGGGCACTACCTAATCCATGTATTATTTATTTTATTTTTTTCCATATTATGTTTACGTACAACACTTATTGCACTTAATTGAAATATTGGTTAAGTGTTAAGCTTAGGCACGGTATATCAACCACTACCAAATCCACAAGTCATATCCACAAGTATATTTTAGAAGACACGCTCTCAAGTATCACTCAACAAGAAAGTGGCCAAAATAACCGCAATGTTGTCATCCTGTGTAAGAAAAAATCTGTTGTATCAATTCATACCATTAACCTAGAACCTAGATCAATAAAATCAATTAAAATATTATTCTTTATTGAAAATGAGATGAGGGACATACTTACTTGTGTCAATATTACGCTGTAGATGTGTGGCGATACGGTGTCTGGCATCGTTGTATTCTAAATGCAGTCCTAACCTCAGAATGGTCGGGTTCTTTTCGATCAATTGCGTTATTTCCATCTCTATTTTATTACCCAATACTTGCGACCTCTACAACAAAAAACGTCCATGAGAACACAAAGAATACTAGGCGAACTGTAGGAGAAATCTACAAGTGTCCGGACGCATGTCAGCCATATAAAAATAATTAAATGCTTGTCATTAAGAATGATGGTATTCTTCAGATACCAAAGCATATTTATATATCTCTCTAAAAATGGGTGAATTTTTGGAAGAATACAACAATTGAGAACATTGGGCTTTTATAAAACAACAACGTACTTAAAATAAAGAATGGCGTCAACTAGATTGCCTCTATTCTTCCTATGCCTTCGTTGGAGGTTTCAAAGAAAATGGATGAGTTAAATCGTTTCAAATGGCGAAATCGAATCGTGATTAGGTAGGTTCACTCAGGAACCTTGAATTTTCGACCTCTGCATATCAAACTATATAAGGCAAATCTATCATATTTCTATTCCATTGCAGACGGAGGGAAAATATGCGTGATTTTAGCTCACTTCGTACAGCTGGCGCCAACCTTGTCAGTGACCGAGTCCAAGATCTCACAAACAAATTTCGTACATTCTGCCGGATCCCAGACATAGTCACAGACAAGTCACCAGCCACTGTACCAATAAACCTTTACTATGCCTAACAGGTACATAGCATCACTGAGATCAGAGCTTTCTTAATAATAGATTTTTCACTGAAACCAGATATTCAACAATTTACAACCATTTACAGCATACAGCTTCGAACCTACAATTTTCATCCCCTCCAAACAATGTCTGAAAATGAGAAGGAAATCTCTAAAACGTTGTAACACTATGTTCTAGCGATTTTATTTCCTCCACCACTGATTCAATTTTCAAAATCTACGACTTCCTTAGTGAAGGAAGTAATAAATTCGCGATAATCGAACTTTGGTTCACAAGTTTTCTGTTGCTTCAAAATATCTGCATCACACAAGTCCATGTTTCTCATTTATGTCGGTTTGTCAGTCCTTGTCTGTTTATATCACTGTCATAAGTACTGAGACTATCTACTTGACTAACACAAATTAATGGTTAGGCGAAATGGGTCGTACATTTAAGGAACATAAAATTCAGAAAAACATATGTGTAGACATAAAAACAGTTAAGTCATCATTTACTAAAGCATCGCAGAACGCTAAAGTGGTACGTACTCCTAATATCTAAGGCCCGTATCGTCAGTCGTCCGTACAATTGTAGGGCGCGTTTATGACCTCCTTGATTGTCATACTCCTTTCTCTCCTTCAAACATTTCTGGATTACACTTGTCCCGTGTCAGCGTCAGCGCACTCCTATTGTGAAGATATGTTTTCTTTTTAACTTGTAGGAAATTTCAGGCTGCTAAAACATGATATAACTCAAAAGCAAGCACAATTTGATGCAAATAGATGTTTGTGACATAACCTCAAAATAGAGTTCTGACACGGAGAAGTAGAAAACTATGACAATCAAGGAGGCCATAAAGGCGCACTACAATTGTAGAGACGACTGACGATACGGGCCTAACTGCAGCCCAGTTGGGGTTTATTACCCATTGCACGACGCTGCAGCATCGCACCGCGTGCACGCAACACCAACCATTGCATAGTTATTTTGAATTATAAGCACATTATACATAGGACTTTTATCATTTGATTTTTTCTTTGTTACCGGGATCAGAAGCTTGTTAATGATACAACGTCTTTAACTAATACTAAAGACGTTACACTGACAACCCCCTGAGCCCCCAATCCACAAGTTTCAACCCCTACAAAAATTTTTATGAAAACGAGGAGTCTCTGAACCGTCAAAAAAGAGCGATTTTTATTTTTTCGTGCTTTTGTCCCTAGCTCCGCCACCAACTACAAAGCTTTTTAATCCATGGCTTAGTAGTAACCTTGTGTGAACAGTTCATCAAATAAGGAGGTACTTCTGAAATTATTGGCGGTGATCAAATCAGCGGACAGACCGACGGAAATGAGTGACATGGTTTGGTGATGTATATGTCATATAATATCCAGAAAACAATATCTCAATTCCGAAAATGTTCCATTACAATCCTTCCTCGTCAGTTTTGGCATAGGAAGTAAAATGAAAAATAGTATCAAGTAGGTTGACTTGTACTTTCCAAGCAATTCTAGATAAATGAATTTGGACATGTATATACATATGTGTATCTGAGTCAACTTTGGTATGGTCTGGTATCGTCTATTGTTCTACATTCGTAGAAGAGAATCCTGCAGAGATATCTTCAGAAGTAAAAACATCATGACTCTACCAAGCATTCATATTTATAAGTGCGCCCTTTTCGCACATACAAACAAAACAAAATTTATACAGAACAGAAACATCAACACACATTATAATACAAGGGCAGGTGAGAGTCTGAGTATTCCAAAACACACACTGACGCTGTTCGAAAAGTCACCGGAATACACCTGCATCAGAATATATAACAAACTTTCAGCTAACGTCAGGAATGTCAGTAGTATTCCTAGTTTTAAATGTAAACTACGCAAATTATTAGTTGAAAAATGTTTCTATTCTTTGTCTGAATACCTCGCACTGTGATATATTTTTTTTTTAACTTTTTTTATATGTGAATGTCTGTACGCATTAAGTTGTCCCTGTTTGTACTTTGTAAATACTTATGTTTGTTTCGTTTTTATTTTTAATTATGTGTACTATGTACCTCCCTCTTAGGACGAGTCTTATGTCATTTTTTATGATCTACAAGACAATAAATGTATCTATCTATCTATCTATCTATGGCTCTAGTATGCTTGTTCGGCGGCTATACAATTGCACGTATCCTGACATAACGGCGTAGCGTAAAACGAATATCAGTGAACAACTGACAAAGTAGGTGGGCTCTGTACTTCTTACGCAAAGTTGTCATCAGTTCATAAAGGATTATCTTCGGCACAAGCTAAACTCTCTCGGGAAAAGAGAGCTACGACCGTTTATAAACGGAGAAATTAAACGGATCAAGTCAGTCAAACAAACGTGTCCACTTAGTCCATACACAACTTTTCCATGCCCTACCGAGAGTACCGTCCATCTGGAATCGCATCGCTCGATGAATCCACTCGTTAGAGTCGGCAGCATGGCAGTGGCGGAACGAAGCTTATGGCAGAGACGGTGATGCAGGCCAACCCAGAGAGCTAGATTCTAAGTTTTAAGGGTAACTGTACGGGGATCTATGGTGCATGAAATACATCCGACGCATAAGATTACCGGGGTTCGGAGAGCGTATGAATATACCACCACCAAAAAATTGAGATGTACATCCCCCCACCCCCAACAACCCCAAGCCCTCACTGAAAAAAAATTCTGAAAATGATGAGCCCCTGAATCGTCACAAGGCCGACTTTGAAAACGATAAAGCTTTTTCGTCCTTGGCATAGTAGTAACCTTGTTTAAAAGTTCCATCAAATTCCGAGCAGCACATTCCAAGATATAGACGGTCAAAGGATTAGCGGATAGACTGACGGAAATATACGTGTCACACATCCATAACATCCAAAAAACATATCTCGCTTTAGAAAATTCTGGCAATTACAAGACTTCCTTTCCAGTATCGTAGGAAGTAAAAAGTTGGTGAAACAAAATACACGTGTTTTGAAATGTTGCAATGCAAAAATTTCATAGATGCGATCAACATTAATTTGAGATACTTCCAGTGTCGAAAATCCTCTTATGGACCCTAATCTTTCACAATACTAGACGCTATGTTTCATTAACGCATCAATGAGAACAAGATACGTGGAACATACAAATATAGTAAGCCAGCAAAATACTCCTTGACACTGTTCCACGTGATTTGTTGGCTCGTTTTTATACAATACCTACAAAGAGCGATCAGGCTGTTTTTACGATTTGATATACCGTCCAAGAATCATTCATTTATATTTGACCCCACAATTTTTTAGGGGTCCTGTTCTTACTTCCCACTACTAAATAAAAATCGCTCAAACTTCGTTTTTGGCATTTCAGAGAAACCTGAATTTTCAGAAAAATTGTATATCGCAAATTGCCATAGATTTATAAACTTCTAAACCCAGTAATTTTACGCGCCTAAAAGACACATTTCACACATATATTACCCAGAATATTTGCCCTTAAGACAGAATTATAGATATACATATTTTGTATATAAAGGGCACTAGCTGCTGCTCTCTCGCGCCACGTGACGAATTTTTACCTGAACAGCTGAGAAGACTTTAACGAGGCACAAGCGATGTAACAATTGTGACTAAGGGTCAATATAATTTATTGAATATAACTAAACATATAGGGTGACAAAATATGAATAGGGTGAAATAAAGAATCTCCTCTATTTTTCGTACCTTTTTCTCAAGTAAATAATATTAGTGTGTATGAAAGTTGTCAACGATTATTTAAAAAAAATAAATATACAATAATTTTTCTCCAATCACATTCATTTACTAATAATAAACCAGAACGTAAGAAAGTTGATTCAGATACTATTCAGATTTCGCCAAATGAAGAATAAGCTTTTTTTTAATGATATTCAATTTACTTATGTCACGGTTCAAAGATTTTCATAGCCGGCAAACAATAAAAATACCAGAGCATACAAAACTTGACTCGTGATGCATGTACAAAGTTCATTTCTCCCAATTTCCGTGGGAAATACAGAGTCAACCGACTTGAGGCCATTTTTTCTGTCAGATTCAATTAGTGCAAGTTTTGGGATTCACCTCAACGGTTGCTATCAGACTGCGATTTTTTACGGAATACGAGTAGTTGTGCGAAATGATCAATTACCTGATTGGTGGCTCTGAACTCTTCCATACTGCACTTCTTCAACAGCGCCTTGACCAACCTGACAACTCCCTGCGGCGATATGAAGTTCGTTTCAACATTGAGCACCCTCAAGGTTCCATTCTGTTCAACGGCCTGTGCCAATTTTTCTGCGTGCCTATCGTGAAGGCCCGTGTTCACCAATGACAAAGTCTCCAGATGGGTGTTGTTTATTAACGCGGCGAATAGGCGGTCAAACTTCTCATCGGCTATATTCTGTAAGAATAACATATGTAAGGGATAATAAAAAATATACCGGGTGCTTCAAATTCGACCATTAGGATTTCGGAAACGAAGTTTGTTAAAAATATGGGCATAACTGCGCATTTAAGTAACTAAAAAAATGATACATAGACAGTTTTGCAATTCCGACTATTTCCGGAGATTGACAAAAGGACCCGAATGTTCCCAAAATCGTACTTATTTTTTCATAACTTTATTTGGATGCGATTTCAAAATAAAAAGTGCATTATGATTGCCATTATTTTTTCCTCTACAAGATGGTATAATTAGAATTTCAATATGACGTTTCGTTTCTTATCTACAATCACCAATTTAATTTTTTTTTATAGACGCGTTCAAGTATTACATAAGCAGATTTTTACAATCATTAACCCCCCTCCCCTTGCAATAGTAAACAAAAAATGTATAACATTTCCCCTTCCTATGTTTACGTGAACATTAGTCATGTCTTTTTCAATCTATATTTTATACTGGAACCTGTATTGATTGGATAAGGAATGAGCTAGGACCAAGGAATTAAATGCACATAGAATTCATTCAATCGAATTATTGATGTGGTAATTATTATAAGCACGTGCATTTGTTTTGTGGTTTTAAAATTTTGGTATATATAAGTATAAATCGTGACACATGCATCCATGACTCTGAGTGCCATATCATCAGTCGTTCCTACAAATGTAGGACGCCTTTGTGGCCTCCTTGATTTTCATAGTTTTCTACTTTTCCGTGTCAGCGCTCTATTTTGAGGTTAGGTCACAAATATCTATTTGCATCAAATTGTTCATACTTTTGATTTATATCATGTTTTGTCAGCCTGAAATTTCCTACAACTCAAGAAGAAATTTTTGAAGGAGAGAAGAGACTATGACGATCAAGGAGGCCATAAAGGCGTCCAACAATTTTAGGAACGACTGACCATACGGCCCTAAGTCCTTGCTGAGATTCAATGTTTTCTGCTTGATGTTGTGTGCCTGTTCACTTTCATGTGATTTTGGAATATCGATATTGTTCTATACGACCCAGCATAGACAAGCAGTGTTGCCATATGTGTTCAAATCAAAATCGACTAAATCATGAAGAAAATTCGGAAAAGAAGAAAATAAATATTGCTTTGGTAATCACCAATCAGACCTCCCCTCCCCCATCCCTCATGTTACCAAAAATTAGCATAAAAACTGAACGCTTGGCTGATATTATAATAATATCTATATGATAATTTCAAGGCCTACTTAGGAAAATCTATTTTTTGGCAATACCAATGTATAACATTATACATGTTTAGAGTTAGAATTAACTGTAGTCACCTGTGCAAAAATCCAATATAGAGTCTATAAGAAAAAATAAAATTGATGATTAAGGAGATGACGAAATGTCATATTGAAATTCTAATTAAGCCATCTTATAGAGGAGGCAATGTTAATGTACCTTTTATTTTGAGATATCATGAATAAAGTCCGTAAAAAAACGATTTAGTGAAAATACGGTTGCTTTCGTCTATCTCAGGAGATACTGAGACTTGCGAACTGTCCCACACCCATTTAGCCGACTTCGTATCTATTACTATTAGTCTATTATTCGGGGATCCCAATGCTGAGAATCGAATTTGAAACACCAGGTATATATTTTTTTTAGATTCTCGTGATATTGTCACCGAAAGATCACTTTTCACACTTTCAACAATCTGCATACCAAAAGTCATCTAAATCTGTAATAATTTCTAATGCTAACATTTTAGGGCCAAATGCCGATTGCCCTTGGATATTGAACGAATAATAACGCATCCATGAATTATCCTTACTTGGAGGCTTAACAGTTCTCATCACGAGTTTTCAGATTTTTCAATTTTAATGTTTTAAAAATCTTGAAGACTGGGAATTTTGAAAAATCTAAAGATTTTGAAGATTATGAAAATTCTTGATAGCCTGAATACTTTGGATATTCAGAGAATTTTGAATATATTGAAAATTTTATTAATTTTGAAAATCTTGAACATTATTACGTAAAATTGAAATTTTTAGAAGTTGATAATTTTAAAGATTTTTAAACTCTTGTAAATCTGTTACAAGTATCTGTAAATTATTTTGAAGGTCCAAACTATCTACTGAAGCTTTCATTTTTCTTAATTTTTTCCTTACCTTAATATTATTCCAGTTAAGGTCGATGAATTTGCTATCATCGTCTTCTACTTTCCTGATCGACTCTTCTGTATCTGTCATATTCGGCGGGTCCATGGGGTATATCTTTGGCTTGGAAGCTTTCGTGATACCATCCCAACCCATGCCTACCGGTTGACCTTTGTTCAGGAGCGACGCGTGGTACTGGTCCTGATTCATCATCGAATGGAAACCCAAAATGGCTGGAAAGGAAATAGATCATTAATTGGTCGATAGATAGGTGAATAAATATGCTTGATTGTCTGAAGAATACAATCATTCTTAGTGACAAAGCCAACTTAAGTTACACTGTAACATAATTAGATATATGTGGATCTTAGAAGGGACCTTATGAACTGATAACAGCATTGCGTAGGAAGTTTAGAGTCAACATCCGCGACGCCATTTTTTTGTTCTAATTTAATCAAGTGCATTTTTCTTTTACATATGTATTCTGACCTTTTCCTGTTGACGCCTCGTATCCGCAAAACAATTTAAATAAAAATGATTATTACTATTATTAATACTGCTCGTATCTAGGGGTCGGTAGTACCGCGTTTGGGGGATCACTCAAAGGTGATAGTGTCTCCTCTTTATATAGAAACTTTACAATCTCCAGATTTATTTTATCAAAAATACAGTTAAAAACACATAAAAATTCCTTATAAATATCTTTTCATTGTATAATAATATGAGTCAGAAGTGTTTTCATGTGCAAAAAGTGCTTGGCATTGCCTCAAATCGTTGAACTTTGAATCTTGTGAAAACCATAATTTTATATATCAAGTACACGATGTCTGGTGGATAAATTTTTTAGTCCAGTAATAATTATTGTAATGTGGATGTACTTTAAAAATGCGCAGAAAGTACAGAACCAGATTACATACACACTTCCTCTGCTAAAAAGAGGATAGGATATTTGCTTTGGGCTACAAAGTTCGCATATAAACATATATTTAGGTTCATTGTTGCTTCACTACAAAATATTGTTTAAATTCGAAAATGCGTTTCTACTAAAATACTTATCAATGCTGAAAGAAAATGATTTCCTTGTTGTCAGGTTACTACATTTGAATGTAATACATATTTAAAAAATAGTATATGCCTTCATGGTTGTGTAAATAATTGTATTTATGATTGAATATGCAAGATTATACACTTGCAAATTGCAGCAATCATATATCACTACCTACATATTCTGCATTTCTCGTTAATGTCTTTATTTCAAGGTTCAAAGAGAATGCTAGAGATGCAAAAGAATTATAAAGTGCTAATTGTTCAGATACTGATAATGCTGCAAGATAACTCTTAAGACATGACAGAGGTATGCAATAGGAAATTAATACGTCTATTGATTTTTACTTACTGCTTGGTAAAACTATATGAATTAGTACTAAGTTTGCGTTCTTCAAGCTTCAATAATAATTTGTACGAAAGTCAGAAAAAAAAATTTTGCACATCACAACAGCTACATACCCCTGAAGCTTCGCAATGTTAACGTAAATAACAAGAAAAGACAGCAGATGAATTATCATCTAAAATCTGAACAATTAATTAAGAACGTACCCAACCTTATTAAAACCATGTATGCATACACTACAACCTGTCGATCGCTGTCTTCAAGTCTTAGTGTTGCCACTTGTTTATTTGTTGCTGCAGGTTATAGATTTTCTTTTTTGTTGAGAAATTCTGAGAATATGAAATATTCAATAAATGAGAGGGAGATTAAGAGGTGACATTGCCTTTTCAAGAATAAACGGCAGTCTTTCAAAGGAAAATATACTATGTTTATATTACTTTTAAGGGATCCTACTTAGTCATATGAGACGATAGAAAGTGTATGAGTGTCTTCTTTGAGAATACAACAATCAATGTCTGAATGCAATTTGTCAGCTTATTCAAATATTCAAAAGTTGTATGTATGTGAAAAATTTGCAATTGTTGACAAAATATGGATATTTTGTGTTGCATGAGAAACCAGACTATATTTAGACAACCTACACATGAGAAAATGTTTGACAATAAGATTAACAACCTCTCATCAAAATAATATGCGTCAATAAAATAAGAATAATATTACCATTTAAAATGGCCGAGATCCAAATGCAGCCAATGTAGTTTATAGTGGTAGTATCTCAGCCATGACATCTTCAGTATTTATTTTAAAACTACCATTATTTTGATTTTAAGAACAATCTATACTGGAGACTGCATATTAAAATACGACTCAATTTATTTTTACTCCTCAGCCATATTTTGCTCGCAGTTGAAGTTCTATATTTACAAATAAGTCAGTTATATATATAAAAATAATTTGATTCTGCGACAGCTGTCACATAATTTGTCATTAGAAACGCTAAATTTCGAAAAGATGAAGCATCTGCTCATGGGGAAACGGATGTTTAGCTAGTAATCTGGAAGTCAAACTTGACGTTTGTCTTCTATTTTCATTGTCACATCATTATTATCGAAATAAGACAGTTTTATTTGTGAAACCTGGATTAGAATCAGAAAAATTTTGTATAGTACTGTCAGGAGAACTATTTAATAAAGAATCTGAGGCTCCCCAGTACCCCCATATATTTCTATGTAAAACATGCATCGGTAGTTCTTGCATAACATATGGTTTTCAATCAAGATACAAAGAATAAATTTGATTATATGGAAGCAAAGTTTTAATGAAGAGAATAACCAGTCGATTCTTTCAGAAGAAATATGTTATCAAAATTGTGCATTCTTGAAACTGCAGCGGATTGAGAACCACACATAATATCGGAAAAAGGAGAAAACCAATCTCTAGAATATTCATGCACGTCCCTATTCCCCTCTCGAGTCTATCAGCAGTGAGAAAATTTTAAGAATGCGAAATCTTGGGAATGTCTGAAGGCGGCAACATCGCTGCCATATTGCCTAGTTCCGATATTTGGACCTTCAAATACCCCCTTTCTTGAATCCTGAAGAAAGCAGAAGAAAGGGTACTGGAAACACGCCTTTTAACTGACTTGATGCTTGGTAGCTTTAAATGCTTTGAACAAACCTGCTAAGTCTATAATTTCTTCTTGTGTGGCTGTCGATAGAGCTTGCTCGTACTCGTCGCCCAAATCCACTGTAATTTTTTCGGGGCATCTTGAATTTGCTGTGGAGGAGGAGGTGGAATCCACTGTAAGCACAAAACAAACATTACTTATTTTCATCCCAAATCAATATCTGTAGTAAAGTAGATCCGTAAGGAAAAGGAATAAGGAATTACTCCCACACACAAGGTAGAATTACCATCTCAGCTGTTGCAACTTTTTCAGGTTTCAAGATTCAAACGCATGGTATCTGATAGTGAGGTGATATTGGAAAATATTATATAAGTCTTATGTTGGGCACTCAGTAAGCAACACGAAAAACAGTGAGTTTTATATACAAAAAAAATAAAAAACTAAGGTGTAAACAGAGGGTACCGTATATCGCATTTTTTATTTGTTTTTTTATCCAGTACGTGTGTTGCAATGTAGGTATGGTGCATAATTTTTACATTTGTCGCTTGTTGGTTATGTTTATGCTTACAAAAACTGTTACACAGGGACTATAGAAAAATAAAATAATAGGCAAAATTTATTTAATTAATAATGAGATGGGCCCAGGAGGTAAACCTTAAACAAATATCGATTTTTAACTGTCAAAAGAGGACAACCAGCATGAACATTTTGTTAGTAAAAAACAGTATTAGCGAGTGAAGGAAAATTTTAAATGATTATAAAATAAATGTTCTTGGTAACATTATGGGTAGTTTTATAAATATTCCTTTTCCAGCAGACTATATCCGACCAGCCAGCGCCCAACGTCATAATCAGTGTGACCTGTATGCACATATATAAATAGTATTTAGTGAACCCAAGGTATGGTGTTGCACACTAATTCAATCAAAATTTCAATGTTTAAGTAAACCTTTACAAATAATTCAATATTTTTAGGTCGAAATATATTTAAAATGATTATGAGAACTAAAAAATGCTCATATTGTAGCCTGTTAATTCAATGTCTCTTAAGCTGACCTTAACAAGCGCTTAACCTCATACCCAGTGCGACATGCATGTACATAAAAATATGTGTATATTAATGCACATACTAATTCAAAACTTTTGAACACTCCATAAGCTTAATAAAAAATTCGAGAATAAAAATGCGAAGTTACACAAATTTTGGTTTGAAATGTTTACTCCCGCTTTAGCACCTTAATTTCACATTTGCTTTTTTTATCAAAGAGTACATACAATTTACTATATAAAATGCTATGTTTCATATCTCAGTACAATACTTTTCATATCTAAAAAATTCTTCAAAAAAATACCAATTTCAAATTTCAAATATGGCTTCTCTTATGAAGCCCTGAACTTAGGGCCATATCATCAGTCATTCCTACAATATTGTAGGACGCCTTCATGACCTCCTTGATTGTCATAGTTTTTCCTGTCCTTCAGAAAGGCGCTCTATTTTGAGGTTATGTTACAAATATCTATTTGAATCACATTATTCATGCTTTTGATTTTTATCATATGTTTTATAAGCCTGAAATTTCCTACAAAAAAGGATACGCTGACACGGAACAGTAGAAATCTAGAAATACCCCAGCTTTCTGAAGGAGAGAAAAGACTATGAAAATCAAGGAGACGTCCTACAATTGTAGGAACGACTGTCGATACGGCCTTAGGAATTGAACGTGCCACGAAAAAAAATGTGTTTTCTCCTTCAATATGACCGGATTTTAAAATCTTACTTTTTGCTTGGTGTCCGCTTCTAGTGAAATACCCTTTCTGATGATATAAATAAAGGTGATATTTTTCAAAAATTTATTTAAAAACAACATTCTGAAGTATCTGTTAGCACACCCTGAATAATAACTTACTTTTTTCCCTCGTACGACACCGGGTACATAAGGTTGAACTTCGGGTCGATCTGGCGTTTCTAGGGCTTCTTTGTTTATGTGTTCAATGAGCTGTTTTCTGTTAAGTGGCCCCGTCGGATCTTTATCACATTCGTAACTTGTCCTTTCAGATGGAGGTAAAAATGTATCCTGAACAGAGAAACAATAAATCAATCGTCTACAGGTGGTATTCAACGAAAAAGAAATTTGAGAAATAATAAAACTTTTTTTGAAATACCAATGGTTCAAAGAAGTCTCATAATTCTTCTATCGCTAAGGGAAAAATTTAGCGAATTTAAATTGGACAATCTAGTTAGCCACCATCAACTAAAGGGTTATTAGATTTTTCACGAAAGTAAAAAACTATTTTCAGAAAAAAATAACATGCCATAGAGCATTACTAGATCAATGCACGGAAGCAGTAATGGCAGGTGAACCCAGAGAAAAGAAGCAGACACATATCTATATCATTATAAGTGCTAAGGGCAAATGTACAGGGAAAGCTGCAATGTGTAAAATATGTTTAATATCAAGAAAATGAAACCTAAAAAGTTCGTGCGGTTTCTATTTTCTCCGTTTTTGCTCCGTAGTTCGGCCGTCACTGGATCAATTTCAAAAACTAGAAAGCATTTTCAACCATGGCACAGTAGTAATCTTGTGTGTCAATTTCATCCAAATCCAAATTGTACTTTCCAGGTTATTGAGAGGCCACAGATTAGCATTCTGATAGACAGACAGACCAACGGAAATGACCGACATGGTCTTTCGAGAGTTACATGTCACATATAACAACCAAATAACATAGTCACAGTTAGGAATTTTTTTTAGGTTACAATGCATAGTGTAGGAAGTAAAAAGTCTTTGTGTGTCTGATGACTGAACTATTAATGATTAGTTATACAATTTTGCTGCTTTAGAGAGCTTCCATGCTATGAAATAAGGGGTGATTTGAACAGTTTGAAGTAGATGGTGCTAGTTGCTGATCACAGCCTTAAATATAATGGATATGACCCAACAGCCTTAATAATGCTATCTAACTTTTCAGATTACCCTCATTTGATACTGATAATATCTATTTTTATAACATATATGATATTTATGCCTCCAACTAACTTACTAAGTTATGCAACACGTTCTAAACATCATATTTTATAAATCGAAAATTAAACTTTTTACTGTATACTTTATGCAATGATCTTATTTTTTACAACAATTTTTGTCAGATAATAAAACCTAAGTATTAAAATAGCAAAAACTACAGTGCAATTATTGTAGACAAATTAATCTATAAATGATAAAAAATGCAGTTCAGAGTATTAATTGAATAAGGTCATTTTATAATATGTTATGTACATATTGCAAATTCTGATCAACTATTAACCATGATGTTATCTCTAAAAATAGTGCAATTATATAAGAAGTAGGAACCATCTGAATGAGCAAACAAACTGTAATCTCAACACACTTTCAAGAAAACAATTTATGGTATGGTCAGACAACTTGGCCATCAAATAATAAAATCTACAAAGAATAAACAAAATTAAATGATTATCTTATACAGGAGGCTCTTACGTTTTGTGTGAATTTTACAAGTCAGAACACGCTACAGTCAAGGAAATGAGTGATCCATATAGAGATAATTTTTTCCAACCATATAGAAGAATTAATCAACTGTGTCAAGTTATCTTTATTATCAAACAACAAAAGCATCCATGACATATTTTTTGAAAATAATTTTTTTTAATGTTGGCCATTACTGCAGCTAACAACATGTATTTAGGAATACTAATTTTTAATGACATGGTTGTCCCCAAAAGAAAAGTCTAGATATATGGAATCACTATCAAGATAGGCAGTTTATCAGTTTACAGAATCAACTACACTTCAGCTAGTTTCTGGGTGACCAAGCTGATAGATTAACAAACTGACAGATATACTTTAATACAAGGTCAAAAAACCTACAGACTGCTTTGAAAGGCATTGGGATCATTCAGCAAAAAAGCAGTCCAGCATTATAGTGCTTTTATGCTGAGTAGAAGTGGCCATGGGATAACTTTGTCAGTTTGCCTGCAGTTTTGTCTTGGCAGACAGATTTAATAGTAGGTATGATTAATGTTGCAAACTTGACTAACGTACATTATAGACAGTGACTAACGGGCAAAGGTCCTACTGACCACCCAGACAAATAAGTGATGAATAGTTAACTTTCAAAGTCATTCCGTGGCTAGTTTTTTTCAAGTCATCGCTGGTTGTCAGAGCGGTCCATAGGACATTAGCTCTTGAGTCACAGTGTCAGTTTGTAAGTCTGTCAGGTCTGGTAACCCAGAAACCAGAAAATTTTAAGGAAAAAAGGGAAGGAAAGGAGAGAAAATAGAATGAGAGCAAAGGGGAAGAAGGGAATCTTTTAGGATAGGCAGCATTTAGGCATTGTTAAAATCACTTTACAGATTTTGATATGGTCTAAAATTATTCGATTTTTTATAAAGATTTTGTCAAAATACTCCAATTTTGATAAGTTCACGAATTCATTTTGATTACAGTGCGAGCTGCTGTCTTTTGCAACAGAGGGTTGCTGTGTGATCCATGACTGCTGCTAATGAGCATAAATGTGCTGCACCACTGGACGACGTTTACTGAACACTCCAAATGACCAAACAAATCTTTAAAGACTAGGCAGGTCAATTGCCCAGTTTAGCAGTAAAATTCTGAAATTTAAAGGCAACTCTAGTATGGGATTCAAATGTAGAATAAAGAACGAGTTTTACTTACGTCTGGATCTACTTCTTTGGCTAGAATATTAACTTCTTCAGCAGTAAGCTTATTGAGGAGTTCGTCTACATCTATGTCATCGTACTGACTCAAGTCCTTTCCATACAGCTTTGCTGGTGTAGTCATTGTGGTCGTGGTGGTCTTTGTGGAAGTCTGCAAGCGAATAAAAACAAACACACGATTAGATAACGGATAAATCAAACCGCCTACAATAGGTATAAAGAAAACAGGGTGTAGCCACTTGTGTGGAAATCGAGGTTATTCGGCATTCAGAATCGTACCTGCTGGTATTCGTTGTGATGAAAATGAAAGAATTGCACCTGCTCACACACCTACCCGCTAGGAGTGACCCTAATTTCAACAATTCAATTATTCAATAGGACTACACACTACTTATAGAAGTCATAGATCAATAGTAAATAAACGGGATATTCCCATGATCCCATGAATGTGTAAACGTCAAGTTGTTTTTCATTATCAATTCCGTATTCGGTCAAATGTGTTAGAAAAAGAAGGAGCGACTCTGTCTTTATGTTAAGTACGTATTTACGGCAGGCAACACATATAGCAGTTAAGGCATCAACTGGTTGCCCGTACTGAACAACACTTTTTTTGGGAGACAATATCCTAATTCCCTCATTAAATCAGTCAATTGCTGTAATATATGCTACTTATATGTTGATACTATCGAAAAAACTAGATAAATCAGTAAATAGGGTCAAGTCGTTTTCCAATTATTTATCAATTCGCCCTTAGGTTACATCTGCTAGAAAGAGTTCATAGTGCAAGGTTGCCTGTCCAGTTGCTGGTAGTGGTGAATATGATATTTGGAAAAATGTGGAAATTTAATAGTACAGTCAATATAAGATGATCATAGTACAGGACAGGTAGTAGGTACAACCTTCTAGCTTCGCCTGCTACATGAAAAGTACTTAAGTGTGAGAGTGAAATACCTAAAAAGGGCCAAGATTAAAAATAGGGAATTTGCCACTTTGATAAAAGTCCATTTTTTGAATTCAGATTTTCATAGACTCTTCAAGGTTGATTATCACTCATTTATTGAAAACGTAAGAAAGTCTGTTCATTGAAAAAGAGCTTATTAAAATCCTACTTTACACAATTAAATGAATTAAACAATTTTTCAAACTTAAATAAGACGTTGAAGCATGTAAACACAAACGTTATTATAGTAGGGGAGCTCTAGCGGGATGTCGGGATTTACTAAAGCCCGGCAGATGAATATACATTAGTATACCTAGTACCCATTTAAGTATTTCCACCAAATATGAGCCCCTTATATATGGTCGCCCGTCAAGGATAAAGGATCAGATTAGTAAAAAAAATTGTTATCTGAAATTCTCGAACGCGTCAGATTAAAGTAAGGTGAGTTAGTTACATGCTAAAACATGTATATTCGACTAATCTGACAATTTGAGAGTGACGCAGAGAAGGGGGAGAGCTACAAAGTTGTAAAAAAAACGTCATCTCGACATTCTCGAGCGTGGCTAAATTGTTTTTTATTTTGAAGGGGAATAATTCAAGGGTTACGAAAAATATATAATCTAACGATTTTCACAAGCCGAAGTAATAAAAATTAATCGATAAAGTTTAATACGTGCAGCTACAGGATGCCTATATTCCCCTCTCCACGTTTCTATTTCTCTCTCACTCTTTCTCTATCTATTACTCTCTCACTCCGTCCCCTCTCTGGTTGCTGTTGCCATGACGCCATGACAGCTGACCAGACAGATCGTTTGTGGCATAATATTGTTTACGACGTATTTCCAACGTTTTTGCTTATTTTGTGATTTTAGTATTAGTGTTGTGAATTGAAGTTTGTAAATATGTATTATGAGTGATATTAATATGAAGTGTGTATTTTGTGGTGAAAGTACTTTGCTGAAAACAATTAAATTTACATTAGAAACATTACAAAAATGTTTAAATGTTTTAGAATATCGCCGGAGCAAACCGGTTGTCCGAAAATCTCGGACAACATACGATAATCTAGAACTTTCGATAGAATCTTCATTGAATGAAGTGTATTACGCACAGTGCTATCAATTATTTACTGCAATGAAAATACCGCGAGACTTTCAGCATTTGCAACCACAATAAAGTGTAATGGATCATGACAATGCATCAGAAGCTTCTGGGAATATCTCCGAATCACATCCTTCTGTTTCTAGAGAGTGCTCCAAATCACATGCTACTGTTGATTCCGCGTCTACTAAGGCTGTTGCATGGTACACCGACAGACGCGTAAGTTCTAATAAGATATATAAATATAATTAAAAAACACGTTATTCATAAGAAAAGATATTATTAACTATGTTAATGAATTTTTGTTACAGATACGCAATCTGGAGATGAAATCTAGCCAGAGGAGGAGATGATTCTACCGATGAAGATGATGATTAAAAAAATACTCAAAAAATATAATTATTTTTATAAATAAAAGTATTCTACTTAAAAAAATGCACTTTTTTTATTTGCGTGCTATTTCCTGAGATTTTCAATTAATTAAGTTCAATGATTAAAAAACTAAAATAAATGTTTTTTTTAATTGTCAGATTAGGTGAATCCCTTCAGGTAATCGTCGGATTATGAGAAAGCACGTCTAGGGCATAAAGATGAACCATATATATCTTAATCTGACGCCCTTGAGTATTTCAAAATGACGAATTTTTATTGCACATTCTAATAATGATCGCGAGTTTGCATCACATCCAAATCGTCAGATTATTATATAAGAGCTTTCTTTTAGGTTCACTTAACATCCCCTTTGAAAATCTGATGCGCTAGATTACATTTTTGTTTTCATTTTCAACCCTTTCGTACGACCACCCAAATCATGGAAACAATCAGATTTACATACGAACATTTTTCAAAATACATAGCATATGGATGATATCAATATCTGACGCGCTCGAGTATGTCCATGCAACATTTTTTTTTACATTTTTGAAAATCTATAGCCTCCCCCCACCGATGAAAAGGTATATATTATAGGACATTTTTTTCGTTTTATCATCTAAGCTTCGCAACCCAATAGGTCTCTATGACGCTCGAGCAAATCCCGATGTAGCATCGTGGGCTCCCCTACTATTATGGATTACTTCACAAAAACGAAGTCATGAATAAAATGCCTGATTAGAGCTTGTTCTAATTTCCGTCATTTTTTGGGAAATACTGCATAGTTACTTTTGTTTTTTGTCCTACATACCAACCTTCGTTATTTTAGGCGTTCACGATTTGTGATTCAAATTACGAATAATCCTTACAGAATGGCTTGACGTTTTGGCTTCAATTTAGCACTTAATATCTCAACAGAGACCACCAGGATGTAAACATACCTCATTCATTAGGTTAATTATACATATGTTATGTTTTGATATATTTCCCTGAGGTTGGTATGCTTGTCGTGAATAAATTTGATCATGTAATTTCGCTACCTGTTACCTTGAAGAAATTCATCAATTTTTCTTAAAATTTGTTCGTAAACTTATATGATTTTGTAAAGCGGCTATTAGAGAAATATCTATCTTTTAGTATATTCCTCACACATGACAAAATAAGGTCTGTTTCAACGACTGTGCCATATTAGATGGCTTAGTACAAATTATGACGACAAACTATAACTCATTACCTGATGATTTAGTCGCGAGATTATTTAAGCTTGAACTTTGAAACACACTTTTTCATACCTCCCGTTTATAGATAAAAATGAAAATACTTTATAGTTTAGAATAGAAATATTTCAGCATTTTTTTTAATATACTCTAATTTCTAGGTAAAACCAACTAGGAGTACCTAATATAGCAAACTATCGCTATTGTCTTCGGAGTAGCAAATTAATTTTTTTATGATTTTTTCAAAGCCTCTTTTCATGTCACTCATTGAAAAGTTTAATTGGAAAAAAATACTTATACCAGAGGGGTAGGATAGGTAATCTGTGCTTTTCAGAAAAATAGGCAACCAAGAGGTTATACCCCTCCTGGTCCCTTCAAGAAGGTGGTACTGGTTACACCTCCCGAAAACATCGCATCAAAACAGCGTCGTCCAACATATGTTGCGTAGCATCTAGCACGTTATGGTTGCCTAGGCAACTGTAGATAAACATCACAACATCAGCAGAATGGCGGTGTGTCTGGCGTTCCTCCAACGGCCTATACTTGGCGATGGCGATTTAAGCCACACGACTGAACCGACGCAGAGAGAACCGAGTGTGTGTGTGTACCTATTATTTATAGCGTCGGAACGCCGAAGTCTCATCTCGGACGTCGGACATTGTCCGTCGTCGGATCACATGATCGTAAATACAAAATGGCTACCGCGGATGAACTGCAAACAGGACAAAGTTGATCATCTCTAGAAAAGCTCCTTACGGGATCGGCAGAGAAACATGCGTACGAGGAAGACATTGCATCAACAATTTCTTCGCTAATTTATTCAGATGGATTTCTTCAAGGTACTCTGATTATGATTTGAAGTGTTTGCATCAATGAACAAATTCACCGATTATCTGACAGTGCACAGTGACGACCACACAACAAATTCTTGCTGGCAACATTTTGAGTATGCATATGAATCGCGGTTTTAGATAGATAGATAGAGGTGAATATCAAAAATCAACCATACTGTTGAATATTGTAGTTCTTCCAATGTTACATATTTGAATTGAAAATATATATAATGGAAAGGAAACCAAGGTTGGCGCCACGGCGTTTGACGTCCAACTTGTCGGAAATTAGAACATATTCTAATTACTTGGAGAAATCGAACAAAAAATTAATGGATCCATTTGATTCCTATTTTATATATCTGAAATTTGTCCATGAACTCAATTCTCATAGAAATACATGAATTTATTACCAATGTAAAACGGGTATTAGTGTCCAGACCAAGTCCAGACAATAATCCAATCCAAGCGGATAACCAAAATTTCCGTATTATATACCGCGGTTATAATATAGTTCAAGATGACACACAGGATGATGACGACAGTTACTCGAATCGCTTGAACACGTTGTTTTAACCGCGGTTTTGTTGCAATTTGTTTATTTTAGAAAAGCTCGTATATAATTTCTAATTATTTTTATTATCACTTAATAATCGGTGCTTTTGCGTCAACAACGGTGTATGGAAAGTTGAAAAAGAAAACTTTCATAATATTAATGGGAGGAATGTTTTTTTCCAGAAAAACATTTTTACTGATGGAACCATGGCTTTGTAACCATGATAACTTTCAATTCTCTAAACTTTTCCGCATGTCAAAGAAAATATTTATTGATTTAGCAGAAATGATGAAAAAGCCATGAAAAAAAGATATTAAGAAAACCGTATACAGGTGGACATCATCCAGTTAGTTTATACGGACATATTTTAATATTTTTGTGGTATACGGCTATACAGGATACTTTGTTAAGCGTAGGAACTAGATTTAAAGTGTCCCCAACAACAGTAATGATTATAAATAATAAGGTGCTCTCTTATGCTAAAACTGAAGTAGCCTGTATCAAGTTTCCCAAAAATGAAGTACAATAAAAATATCCAATACCCCCGTAGGTGGTAGATGGTCTCTGACTGTCGAACGCGGAGGTACCACCCGGCGGTTCTCGTAGGCGGAGCCAGAATGTGTGCATGTTGGATGCACACGTGTTCCCTCGCCAGAGTCCGTGTGGCGTCCCCCCTTTCCCATGTATCCCCCTATAGCCCCACGGTACCCAATGGGTGCTTAGGCCTTAGGCCTTCGTGGTAGTTGGAGTATAAAAAAAACCTGCAAAATTCTAACTTGTCACAATGTCAAATAATAACCAGAAATATAAAACTACTCCCGAGTTGAGTAAATACCACAATTTTACGGTGATAACTATGACATATAACAGCTGATTCATGACGTCACGGATCTTATAACCAAACTGGTAAATACCATTTCCATTTGGTTATCCGCTTGAATTTGATTTATATCAACACGCTCTGTTCGCGCCCTCCGCCCTCACTTGGGCATACGAGTTTATCTCTGTATCTGTCTAATACACATTATATTCAGGACTTCAATGACCCTCCGCCGACCCTGTACACTAACCTCCCGACATATTTGAGAAGTGTACACCTGCACCTTTCTGTATCCCTTCAGATCACTGTTAGATGCCATGAAACTTCTGTATTTTTTCAGAGGTCTGTAATTTCGCTTAAAATCTATTACTGCCAAAGGGGATAAAGGTAGATAGATATAGGTCTACGAGTATGAGTTCCTGTGCATAATCATCAAGGTGATCGAGAAGTTTATGTACAGGGGTTGACCAGCCGTAATTTGTAACGTTTGGTGTTTCTTTGAAAAAGATAATCCTGTTATTTATAAGAGATTCGCTGCAACATTGGTTATATAGCTGGGAATAGAAGTTTGAACGGAATGGCCCAACTAAACTGCTCACTTGTTTTGCCTACTTCATTCAGGAGTAACTGTACCTGATTAATAACGAAGTCTGTAGTAGTAGTATAGTAGCAGTAATAGTCGGGAGACGAAGCCTGCCAAGTATGCCACCTTTCGCCCTTTTTGCTAACCTCGAATTTATCAACACTCTACTCCTCATCTCCTCAGGATGTTCAACCATTCTACTGAGTATACAACGTCACTATCAAACTCCATCGCTCCAAATATCACAGCTCTTAGGCTGCAATATAGATAGATAGATGGCTTATTTCCATGAGACTCAGTGTCAAATAGAAAATATGTATAAAACAGACCCCGGTAACACTGACGATTAACACATTCAACAAATTAAAAGCTGAAATGTATATACTGTGGATACAGAAAGGGTTGTCTAAAGTCATTTTTTAACCTTTTTTATACGCTTACTGATGAGACTTGATATCTGTTGGAAGTTTGTTATGTAACTTAATCATCATTATGCTTGGACCTTTTGATACAGGAAATAACCAGTGGTGAGGCACAACAAAATTAAAGTTTGGTCGGGTACTATCTGATGATGGACATGACCGCCCATATAGCAAAATCTAGAGGGCATGTTTGGTTTACAGGTTGTGCAGGATCAAAAATGCTGAGAACGAACTAGCCAACCCGTTGGTGACAATTGAAAACCGGGGCAAAACTAATAATCATTTATGTTGGGATGTTCTCACACACGCATTTGCCCCCCTTACCCCCCCCCCCCCAATGGGCGCCCATGGTGATAGACATGCGTCTTTAGAAACACACAGAATAATTTGATTTGATATGCATTAGGGATCGGGAAATGTATAAAGAAAATAGAGATATAATGCCTGCTTCTTTGAACAGCAGTCAGTAAGAGATACATAAGTCTTATTTCTTTTGCATCATAAAAACTTCATTTACACGGGAATTGTTCCCCAGCAAGCACCGCATAAGTGAGGAGTGTGATTTTTCTCAGATGTCGAAAGGAACGGACAAGT